ACATTGAGTACCTGGCGATGCTACACTGGAGCCAATTGCTAGGAGATACAAGTGTTCCACTATGCCTGCGTATATAAGGGGAAGAATGATGTATCAAGCAATAAGAGAAGACTTCCAAAGCGCAGTTTGGAATAGAGCTCTATGCATGAGTCAAGGATCGGCACCTATCTGCAGCATAAAGTGCGGTTATCTGGATCATACAGGTTCTTTTTCAACTCAGACAGCAGCTGAACTTCACAAAAGTTTACATTGCTAGTGAACCTGATGAAGTGGGAGTTAGAATCAAACAAGATCTTCAATTGCTAGGAATAAGAATGATCACAATACAGAATCGAATTGTGGTCCCAAAGATCATTGGGTCAAGATACAAGCCATGATTCCACAAGCAGTCATCTCTCCGTTAACACTACGAACATGGCAATGTCTACTCGGTCTACTAACCTCGGCGCAGGACTCGACTCGCACAGGAAGGTTACAACTAAGGCCACTGCAAAGGTTCCTGACAAAACATCTGGACAGACTAGCATGAGTGATTAAAGACCCTGTACGGGTAAAGATCTTACCTGTACATTAAGGGGTCGCAACTCATTTATGATAAAGACCTTATCATAATCTATTGGTTGTTATAGATATCTAGTAAAAAGAAGATACTAGTATATCTTAAGCCACATGAATCAAGATGATTCAACTTGTCTGAGATTGAAGTAAGACAAGAAAGTTGTCCCCCCGAGTTACAACAGAAGTTGGAAGGATAGGAGCATGGAAATGCCGTTTCACAGTTCCCATGGGTGGGATACAGGACGTATCTAAGGACAGCTGATGAATCCAAGAAGTGGCTTGACACACCACCAATCCGTCGGATTCTATAAGCAAAAGATCGTGAGTCAGGATAAGAAAAAATATGTAAATATTTCAAGTAAAATTGATATTTTTATACTTATCCTGACTCATGACGAGAAGCCCTCCCAAGCTCCCCGCTGGAAACACTTCGGATTTCACAGCAGATCCAAGTGCATGGGCAGAAAATCAGGAGAGAGTGACAAGTAAGGCTGGTCACATGACTGTTTGCAGGGGAAAGGGCAAAAGGGAGGTAACTCGTGGGTGAGTGTATTTTTACGTCCGCTTCGGGAACTTCAAGGGATTCAAGTGTTCCACTACCATTCGCAAGGGAAAGGGAGATAAGCAAAAGATCATGAGTCAGGATAAGTATAAAAATATCAATTTATTTTCTTTTACTTAATCAAAATTACATTTATTTCATGATTTGAACAGGTAGAATATAAGAAATTGTGTTGTGTCATGATGGACAAGTGATTGTGCCAGGGTTCATCAAAGACAGTTGTATTTTGTGTTTGGATTTGTCATTATGGAGCTGATTTCATGTCTCATATAGCCACAGAAGCCTTGTGTTTTATCATTCGTGTACCTGTGGGGCGTATGTCCAGTATACTTGTCTCCACATGGTCTCCTATGTACCGTACAGCTCCTCCAGGGTTTATGGGACTTGGTAGAGGAACCTTTCCCATAGAGCATTTTCCTTGTGAGTGGGTTTACTGGCTGTGTTTGTAGAGAATGTGCTGATTTAGTGCCTGGTGGTGCCTGGGTAGGGATGCTGCCTGACATGGGTGATGGGCCGGGGATCAGTTCACTGGATGTTCCTAATGGCTTCTTTCACATGATATCTGAGAAATGAAGGCATGTTTCAGGTGCTGTATATCTTGGCTTACTGCTGGGGTTACAGATGGCTACTGCCTTTCATTTGAGGTTGTTATATCTGATTTGCTTATGATCTGTAGATGGTGGCTGGCCAGACAATAAACGTACTGGCCAGTGTTGGTAAGCCTTTGGGAGATGGCAATGTGGATGCCAGCATCAGCTGTCAGTTGTGTTTAGGTTCTATTTCCAGAAGTTGAACCTGATTCCTTGTTGTTAATTGAAGAAATGGACCAGTTGGATGTCTTTGTCAAGGGCCTTGTCTGGGATGGTAGCTGTATTACCTGCCTTCTTGTACAAGCATCAGTGTGTGGACCAGTTGGTGGTCTTTGTCAAGGGCCTTGTCTGGGATGGTAGCTGTATTACCTACCTTCTTGTACCAGCATCAGTGTGTGGACCAGTTGGTGTCTTTGTCAAGGGCCTTGTCTGGGATGGTAGCTGTATTACCTGCCTTCTTGTACCAACATCAGTGTGTGGACCAGTTGGTGTCTTTGTCAAGGGCATTGTCTGGGATGGTAGCTGTTTTACCTGCCTTCTTGTACAAGCATCAGTGTGTGGACCAGTTGATGGTCTTTGTCAAGGGCCTTGTCTGGGATGGTAGCTGTATTACCTGCCTGCCCCAGACAATGCCCTTGACAAGACCACCATCAATGTCTGGGATGGTAGCTGTATTACCTGCCTTCTTGTACCAGCAGCAGTGTGTGGACCAGTTGGTGGTCTTTGTCAAGGGCCTTGTCTGGGATGGTAGCTGTTTTACCTGCCTTCTTGTACCAGCAGCAGTGTGTGGACCAGTTGGTGGTCTTTGTCAAGGGCCTTGCCTGGGATGGTAGCTGTATTACCTGCCTTCTTGTACCAACATCAGTGTGTGGACCAGTTGGTGTCTTTGTCAAGGGCCTTGTCTGTGATGGTAGCTGTTTTACCTGCCTTCTTGTACCAGCATCAGTGTGTGGACCAGTTGGTGTCTTTGTCAAGGGCCTTGTCTGGGATGGTAGCTGTATTACCTGCCTTCTTGTACCAGCATCAGTGTGTGGACCAGTTGGTGGTCTTTGTCAAGGGCCTTGTCTGTGATGGTAACTGTATTACCTGCCTTCTTGTACAAGCATCAGTGTGTGGACCAGTTGGTGTCTTTGTCAAGGGCCTTGTCTGGGATGGTAGCTGTATTACCTGCCTTCTTGTACCAACATCAGTGTGTGGACCAGTTGGTGTCTTTGTCAAGGGCCTTGTCTGGGATGGTAGCTGTATTACCTGCCTTCGTGTACCAGCATCAGTGTGTGGACCAGTTGGTGTCTTTGTCAAGGGCCTTGTCTGGGATGGTAGCTGTATTACCTGCCTTCTTGTACCAGCATCAGTGTGTGGACCAGTTGGTGTCTTTGTCAAGGGCCTTGTCTGGGATGGTAGCTGTATTACCTGCCTTCTTGTACAAGCATCAGTGTGTGGACCAGTTGGATGTCTTTGTCAAGGGCCTTGTCTGGGATGGTAGCTGTATTACCTGCCTTCTTGTACCAGCATCAGTGTGTGGACCAGTTGGTGTCTTTGTCAAGGGCCTTGTCTGGGATGGTAGCTGTATTACCTGCCTTCTTGTACAAGCATCAGTGTGTGGACCAGTTGGATGTCTTTGTCAAGGGCCTTGTCTGGGATGGTAGCTGTATTACCTGCCTTCTTGTACCAGCATCAGTGTGTGGACCAGTTGGATGTCTTTGTCAAGGGCCTTGTCTGGGATGGTAGCTGTATTACCTGCCTTCTTGTACCAACATCAGTGTGTGGACCAGTTGGTGTCTTTGTCAAGGGCCTTGTCTGTGATGGTAACTGTTTTACCTGCCTTCTTGTACAAGCATCAGTGTGTGGACCAGTTGGTGGTCTTCGTCAAGGGCCTTGTCTGGGATGGTAGCTGTATTACCTGCCTTCTTGTACCAGCATCAGTGTGTGGACCAGTTGGTGGTCTTCGTCAAGGGCCTTGTCTGGGATGGTAGCTGTATTACCTGCCTTCTTGTACCAGCATCAGTGTGTGGACCAGTTGGTGTCTTTGTCAAGGGCCTTGTCTGGGATGGTAGCTGTATTACCTGCCTTCTTGTACAAGCATCAGTGTGTGGACCAGTTGGTGTCTTTGTCAAGGGCCTTGTCTGGGATGGTAGCTGTATTACCTGCCTTCTTGTACCAGCATCAGTGTGTGGACCAGTTGGTGGTCTTTGTCAAGGGCCTTGTCTGGGATGGTAGCTGTATTACCTGCCTTCTTGTACCAGCATCAGTGTGTGGACCAGTTGGTGTCTTTGTCAAGGGCCTTGTCTGTGATGGTAGCTGTATTACCTGCCTTCTTGTACCAGCATCAGTGTGTGGACCAGTTGGTGGTCTTAGTCAAGGGCCTTGTCTGCGATGGTAGCTGTATTACCTGCCTTCTTGTACCAGCATCACTAATTACTCATTTGATCCCTTTAAACCCAAGACAATCATGGGCCTTTGACCCTCAGACAGTTGTCCCATGTACTACACCCATTATGACCTGGATTGGAGTTGATCCCCAGCTAGTTTCTGATGGCTCCTTGACCTTTGGTTAACAACTTGACAGCATTGTCTATAGACAAGGAGCTCTCACTGCCAGAGTACCTGGTCATGCATGATATGGCAAAACGTCTCCAGCCTTGAATTGCTGTCAATATTAAACGTCCCCATTTCAGAAAGGGTTATTCTAACTTGTTGCAAGACTTGCTGTTGAAGGCCATTGACATTGAGATTTATAGGGCTCTATTAGATATGAACTAGAAATGAACACAGTGAGTGCAGGACGTAATTGCCTGGATATTTCTCTGATGACATTGTTCTTCATGGTTCCTTTTAATGCCCCTATGTTGCCAGCAATAACGAGACTGTATCACAGAGTCAAATGAAACAAATATGTAAGCCCGCAGAACACGCAGATCCATCTTCCTTACATCTGTGTGTTCAGGACATACCACCAGGCCTCCTTACATCTGTGTGTTCAGGACATACCACCAGGCCTCCTTACATCTGTGTGTTCAGGACATACCACCAGGCCTCCTTACATCTGTGTGTTCAGGACATACCACCAGGCCTCCTTACATCTGTGTGTTCAGGACATACCACCAGGCCTCCTTACATCTGTGTGTTCAGGACATACCACCAGGCCTCCTTACATCTGTGTGTTCAGGACATACCACCAGGCCTCCTTACATCTGTGTGTTCAGGACATACCACCAGGCCTCCTTCATGCGTCGCCTGTATCTCCCAAGTCAAATGTGTGTCAATGTTACAAGATGTGTCAATGATTTCAGAGTCACCTTATATGCAGAATTCCTGCCCACAAAATCCCGAGCCACTTGTGTGATCCTAGTGGAGGTGAGCAAGCCTACTCTTCTGACATATTGATTTACAGTATTAATAACCATGTTAATTATACTCTGTAAGAAAATCTGTTTTCCTGAAAACTGGAAGGATGAGATAATTTTAAGGGTGGTTCGTGACTGCATTTAGTCTGTTTATTGACTCATCATTCACTTAAGGAAAATTTAACAGAATCTAAACTTGAAAGAAGTTCATCATATCCTTTATTGCCACAGTGTATAATGGAAGTAACAGTCTCCTGTTCTCTGTCACAGATCTTCTGGGCTCTAGGGGCCTGCTTCGAGGTAGTGCTTGCCTTGATTGTGATGCCAACACTGGGATGGAAATGGCTGTTGGGTCTGTCTGCCATCCCTCTCCTCCTCTTCTCCATCTGCTGTGCCGTAAGTAGCCTGTATGTTGAGGATCACTCTCACATACAATTGATCCTCTCCATCTGTGTGTCATAAGTAGCCAGTATGTTGAGGATGAGTCTTCTATCCAAGCCATCTACACCATCTGCTGTGCAGTAAGTAGCCATTATGTTGAGGATCAGTCTTCTATCTAAGCCAATTTCACCATCTGCTGTGCAATAAGTAACTAGTATGTTGAGGATCAGTCTCCTGTACAAGCCATCTACACCATCTGCTGTGCAGTAAGTAGCCATTATATTGAGGATCAGTCTTCTGTACAAGCCATCTACACCATCTGCTGTGCAGTAAGTAACTAGTATGTTGAGGATCAGTCTCCTGTACAAGCCATCTACACCATCTGCTGTGCAGTAAGTAACTAGTATGTTGAGGATCAGTCTTCTGTACAAGCCATCTACACCATCTGCTGTGCAGTAAGTAACTAGTATGTTGAGGATCAGTCTCCTGTACAAGCCATCTACACCATCTGCTGTGCAGTAAGTAACTAGTATGTTGAGGATCAGTCTCCTGTACAAGCCATCTACACCATCTGCTGTGCAGTAAGTAACTAGTATGTTGAGGATCAGTCTCCTGTACAAGCCATCTACACCATCTGCTGTGCAGTAAGTAACTAGTATGTTGAGGATCAGACTTCTGTACAAGCCATCTACACCATCTGGTGTGTAGTAAGTAACTAGTATGTTGAGGATCAGTCTCCTGTACAAGCCATCTACACCATCTGCTGTGCAGTAAGTAACTAGTATGTTGAGGATCAGTCTCCTGTACAAGCCATCTACACCATCTGCTGTGCAGTAAGTAACTAGTATGTTGAGGATCAGTCTCCTGTACAAGCCATCTACACCATCTGCTGTGCAGTAAGTAACTAGTATGTTGAGGATCAGTCTCCTGTACAAGCCATCTACACCATCTGCTGTGTAGTAAGTAACTAGTATGTTGAGGATCAGTCTCCTGTACAAGCAATCTTCACCATCTGGTGTGCAATAAGTAACTAGTATGTTGAGGATCAGTCTCCTGTACAAGCCATCTTCACCATCTGCTGTGCAGTAAGTAACTAGTATGTTGAGGATCAGTCTCCTGTACAAGCCATCTACACCATCTGCTGTGCAGTAAGTAACTAGTATGTTGAGGATCAGTCTCCTGTACAAGCCATCTACACCATCTGCTGTGCAGTAAGTAACTAGTATGTTGAGGATCAGTCTCCTGTACAAGCCATCTTCACCATCAGTCTTGCTTGAGCAGAGACCCTCACATCTCATATTGTGTCATTATCACAAATGAGTCTTGGCCATATCTAGGTATTACGGTGATGAATTGACACAACTATACTGTAGTAATGCTCTAATGCTTAAACCTTTGTTTGTGATCAGTGGCTGCCAGAGAGTGCCCGTTATGATGTTACCCGGGGTCAGTCTGAGAAAGCATTTGCTACAATACAACGGATTGCCAAGGACAATGGCAAACCCATGCCACTTGGCCGACTGCTTGAGCCACATGCACACTCATCAAAGGTAACTGTTTCAAAGCAGATCATTATGAAATTGAAAATAACACAATGTTTGTGAAGATAGCACCAGAAAACACCTTATAACAGGTTGATCAATCATGTTATTTACAGTAATGAAGAAGGTATTAGGTCCCAAGTGGCCAGTGCACACATTCTCAGAGTGAAGTAAATGTGTAATGATTTCAAGCACAGCCAGCAGAATTTTACATGTTCTTGTAATCTGTTGCAGCCTATCAGACGAGGCCGGATAGCAGACTTGTTTACACCAGAATACAGAATTACCACCGGCCTACTGTGGGTCATCTGGTAGGCACAGCTGTCTGTACACATTGTTAATATACCACACACATTGCCAGTTGTCCATGCTCTGTGACTTGTTACAATAACAATTAATGAAACATTTGTGGAGGATTGTCCACACAGGTATTGTGTGTTTATTTATTGTACTTTTTTATATTGTTTCTGGACAGGTTCTAATATTTCAGTTTGTGTATATGCGAAGAGTTTGCAAAAAACACACCTAACTACATCTTACTTCACGGAAAGGTTTTCAAGCATAAAAAACCCACACTTACCATGTGCAGAGTATGATGAGAAACTGTCGTCAGTTGGATTCGAGGTGTTGGTTTGGCAGGATGCTCTGACATATTTAGTTGTAGTTACTCAATTGACTGATTGTCAGATAGAATTGGTAAAATAGAAACATAGGAATTTAAGTAGTTGTGAATAAAAACCAAGATAGATTAACTTGAAGTAAACAGAAATATCATAAATGATTTAGTGGTTTCTATTTCTTCAACACTATAATGGTCCACAGATTGGAAACCATGGTCATTGCTAAGATGTTTGATAACTGTATTTGGTATCCACTGTGATTGCTTTGCAATCAGAGCTTTTTGTTGTATTTAAGTAGCCATGGTCTTCTTTCCATTGATTAATCTAGATTTTTGTTCAGTGAATCACTTTTCTGTTGTGGCTTCCACTTTGAAACCTCCTTTGTTCTGTGTGTTTCCAAGTCATCCTTCATTGTTGTCTTCAATGCACACTCCAACTGCCACTACACATCTGCTGTATATGTACCTTCATTGTTGTCTTCAATGCACACCCCAACTGCCACTACACATCTGCTGTATATGTACCTTCATTGTTGTCTTCAATGCACACTCCAACTGCCACTACACATCTGCTGTATATGTACCTTCATTGTTGTCTTCAATGCACACCCCAACTGCCACTACACATCTGCTGTATATGTACCTTCATTGTTGTCTTCAATGCACACTCCAACTGCCACTACACACTGTATATGTACCTTCATTGTTGTCTTCAATGCACACTCAACTGCCACTACACATCTGCTGTATATGTACCTTCATTGTTGTCTTCAATGCACACCCCAACTGTACCTTCATTGTTGTCTTCAATGCACACTCCAACTGCCACTACACATCTGCTGTATATGTACCTTCATTGTTGTCTTCAATGCACACCCCAACTGCCACTACACATCTGCTGTATATGTACCTTCATTGTTGTCTTCAATGCACACTCCAACTGCCACTACACATCTGCTGTATATGTTCCTTCATTGTTGTCTTCAATGCACACTCCAACTGCCACTACACATCTGCTGTATATGTACCTTCATTGTTGTCTTCATTGTTGTCTTCACACCCCAACTGCCACTACACATCTGCTGTATATGTACCTTCATTGTTGTCTTCAATGCACACTCCAACTGCCACTACACATCTGCTGTATATGTACCTTCATTGTTGTCTTCAATGCACACTCCAACTGCCACTACACATCTGCTGTATATGTACCCCATGTTCTCAGGTTGGTCTGTGCCTTCTCCTACTACGGCATTGTACTGCTGACCACAGCTTTGTTTGAAAGTCCAGACGGATGTCATGGTAAGTTCATGATAAGTTCTTGACAAATTGATCATTATCAGGTAGGTCAAGTGGTGTTTCGGTGTCCAGCCAGTGGGTCTGCCTCCTGTTGGAGGCTGTAGTTTTTCCACACCTGCACCTTACAAAGGTGTGAAACATGCCAGAGATTGACACGATTGTCAACCAAGTGTGGGTGGAATCTGGGAGGGATCCAGATTAGGGGAAAATTGTTTCTTATCCTGACTCATGATCTTTTGCTTATCTCCCTTTTCCTTGCGAATGGTAGTGGAACACTTGAATCCCTTGAAGTTCCCGAAGCGGACGTAAAAATACACTCACAGACGAGTTACCTCCCTTTTCCTGCGTAAACAGTCATGTGACCAGCCTTACTTGTCACTCTCCACTATTTCGCCCAAGTGGATGGTTGGGCGAACACTGGAGTCCCATATACGGCATTATATCCTTTTTATTTAGGTCGACTTTAACTCTGTGACTATTCCTCCGATTGAACCTATATCCAAGGTACCTTCTTACCTATGCACAGGTTTGAGAAAGCTGCAGACATCTACAAGGTTCGAGAACTCTCAGATCTACAGGCAGATAAAAGCAACGCTGACATCTACAGGGTTGGTGAATCCTAGGCTTAACAAACCCTTACATCGACAGGCAGGATGTTGACGTCGACTCTATTACCATACGGCTGAATAAAACGAAGCAATGATGAAAACGGATGGTTTTGTCAGAGTTTAAAACTCAACAAAAAGATCTACAACATGTGCGATCTCTACAGTTACAGCCTGCACAACTCTACAACCTGCACAAACCTTATGCCTGTGTAATAGGCACCTCCACTGAGGGAGGTCACCCAGTGACAGTAAGGTTCATATATCAAGATTCGATGTTGTTATTTAACGTTCTCCATTGTGGACTTTGCGTTGTGTATTTTAATTAGATGTTAATCTTGTACCTGGAGAACGGAACCTTTCATGGACCTTATTTCAGGTTCTATGGTTGTTCAAGTCATTGTTAAAGATTCTTCACAAAATAAGAACAAAGTTCAGATTTCACCAAATAAATACAGTTTATTAATTAATAAAAACAAACTAAGCCAAACTTAACAAAATAAATAGAAGCCAGCATCACACACACTCACAACTAGCAGTCTATAAAACCCAAAGAAAAAGAAAGTCCTAACTAATTAATTCCTACATACAAAGCCTACTCTAACCCTATCTTTTCCCCCAACCCACTAAATATTCTCCTACTCTACATGCAAAACCTAAGGAAAGGAGGATGACCTCCTGACTTACTATACGGTCAGGATGTCCTGAAGCAAGCGACTTCTCTGAGCGTTACAGGCTTTAAATACCCCGCGCTAACCTTTGACCCGGGAAAAGTAGCCTAACTCCCATTGGCCCACAATGGAGTCAGCCGACCAATCACGACAGCTCTACCATACCGCACTCGGAATGCAAACAGAAAACACACCGGGCCACGGCAATCCGAGCACGGCATGGCAGCGCATGCCGTGACTGTAAACTGTCCGGGAAAGGAATAATTCCAACGGAATTTTACATCCAAACGAAGGTAAAAAGCGGAATTTTATACACTACAAGCAACCTCTGAAGAAATCACTTACTCCCGGAAACTGCTACGTAAAACTTCCCACTAAATATATATATTACAACCCCAATAATGTGAAAAGAAAATAACTTTTATTCCCAACAAAAAACCCATTTTCCTACACCTGTATAGGTTCAGTTTCGGACGACAACCTACTTGATGAAAGGAATCACTTCATCTACACGGATGCTGAGGTCTTATACTGGGTAGCAGATGGCCTGCGGATATTGTCGTTCACTCACTCACTCCAACCCAACAGAGACGTACTGCATATACGCTGATGACTCCAGAGACGTACTGCATATACGCTGATGACTCCAGAGACGTACTGCATATACGCTGATGACTCCAATATGATATCACCTGTGAAGCCGATATCTCAAGTACTGGAGAACCTCAAGGCGACCTTTGTAAAGGACTTAAGGTTAACAACGCCTTCAAGTATCCTTGAACGGACATACAGATGATATACTGAGTCAAAAAAGAAACTTCACATTCTTTCTTCAGGGCACTATAAAAGAACAAGAGATGATAAGATGGTTAAATTGTTATTATTTCATTGCTGAGATCTGTGTGATGTACTCGATACACTGACAGTGCCATAATCAGTTCCATTAGGCTACAACGCCGTTCCAAAACATGGGTATACAGAATGTCAAGTCACAAGAATAAAAATGCGAAATTTCTCAGTTCAATATCGTGTATGGCCGCCCCGCGCATTCACCACTGCCAAACACCGTCTCCTCATCGACTGCCTGATGCTTGTGAACTCGTGGTTGGGGATTCTGCTCCATTGCTCTTGCAAGGCAGCCAAGTTCCTGCAAATTCTGAGGTTGGTTCCTAAGACCACGAAGCCTTCTCCCAAGTGCATCCCAAACGTGCTCTATTGGATTAAAGTCAGGGGACCTCGATGGCCAGTCCATGACGTTGATTCCAGCGTTTTGAAGGAAACATTGTGTCAACATCGCGGTATGCGGCCGAGCATTATCATGCTGGAACTGTAGACCTGGGCCATGAGCCGCCATGAAAGGAACGAGTTCAGGGGTGAGCACCTGGTCGCGGTAAGCAGCAGCTGTGAGGTTTCCACGGATGACCAGAAGTCGGGAACAGTTGTTCCCACAGAAAGCACCCCACACCATGCAACTTCCGCCCCCGAATCTGTCGACTTCCTGTACACAACATTGGGCATACCGTTCACGACGTCGTCTCCAGACTCTATGCCTGCCGTCCGGGAATCTGAGGGTAAACCTGGATTCATCGCTAAAGACGACTCGATTCCAGTCTCTCTGGGTCCATCGGAGGTGACATTGGGCCCACAGCAGACGTTGATGATATGGACGTCGAGAATGGAGATTGGCAGCCCACAACCGATTTCGAATGGTCTGTGAGGACAGTCGACCTCTAAACATCTCAGCCCTGGTTCGTGTAGCCGGCAGAAATCTGTCACGTAGGTGACGTAGGACGATTTGACGGTCTTCTGCTCGTGACGTCACACGTGGACGACCCGACTTTGGGCGATCAGAAGTGGTGCCAGTTTGTTGTAGACAACCTCGCAAGTCATACACAGTATGACGACTGCATCCCATTGCTCTTGCGACGTCAATAACTGATCTTCCTGCTTGCAACATGCCAACGGCACGGCACGTTCACGTTGCACATTTGACAATCGTGGCATTTCAAGTACCGTTAGAACTGTGGTTTAAAAGTGTTTTTTAAATTCTTGAGGCCAATGCAAACACGTGCATATGAAGAAAACTTTGATGCGAAGATCACGTGATCGACTGCACGTGCAAAACCTGATTTGGCACTAACGTCATTTGCGCGACGAATGGATGGGTTTGAGTGGGTTTTGCTAACGTTTTTCTAGAGTCGAAAGATAGGGATCCCATTTCGGATACATAGATGTATCATCAGAGAAATATTATTCATTATTTTTCAAATTACATTTTGTGAAGTTTCTTTTTTGACTCAGTATATTATTAACACTCGTCACTCAGCGTGGGGATTAGGATTTTATATCCTATCAACTAGATTCAGCATAGGTATTTCTTCAAGATCCATACAGACATACGTCTTGACAGCCTCCTTCGTCATGCTGGCTTATATTATCCACAATGGGAATATGTGATTTATATCACTGAACAAGAATTTACACTTGGAGCAACCCATATTCAAGAGGTATATATGAGTGGCGTAGATTTATGCGCGCTTTTACTCAACCAACTACTTGCATCAGATTTTATGGAGGCCATCTTGCTACAACACCGGTGACGTCATGCTTGGAACTGATTGGTCCACGTCAGACAACACGTCCCACGGACAGATCAGGCTCCAGCATGTTTTCTGATTTGTAAACAAACCCGTGGTACGGGGGAATACTTCATCGGCAGCCTTGGAAACAGTATACAACTACGGCCTGTTATCATCATGGGAATCTAATAGATGTCTAGCCATGACAGCAGGATAAACGATGTTTAATATGGAAGTTCTTGCTGAATAAAGTCGGTATGAGAACCTGTCCCCTGAGATGCTACACTGGAGCCAGCCTTGCTATAAATAGACCGCTTCGATGTATGTATCAACACAGATCACCTGCGTATATACGGGGAAAAATGATGTATCATCACTGCAATCAGAGGTTAGCACTTCCAATGGAACGTCCTACCATTTGGAATATCGTCAGCTCTATGATTATTCATACGAATAACCAAGCCTATCGGCACCTATCTGCAGCATCGAGGTCTACGCAGTGCCGGTTATCTGGACGACGGCATACAGGTTCTTCAAAGTGCCAATCAATTCAGACAGCAGCTGAACTTCACAATTAAGTTGCTCACGCAACTAGGATTGCTAGTGAACCTGATGAAGTGGGAGTTAGAATCAAACAAGATCTTCAATTGCTGGGAATAAGAATGATCACAATACAGAATCGAATTGTGGTCCCAAAGATCATTGGGTCAAGATACAAGCCATGATTCCACAAGCAGTCATCTCTCCGTTAACACTACGAACATGGCAATGTCTACTCGATCTACTAACCTCGGCGCAGGACTTGACTCGCACAGGAAGAGTACAACTAAGGCCACTGCAACGGTTCCCGACAAAACATCTGGACAGCGTCGACTCTATCTTGCTGCCAGACAATCTTAAGAGGTACCTACTTTGGTGAACCCACAGGCGAATGTATGTGGAGGGACCTATTTACAAGAGCCGGCCTTCGACACACATCTCTACATAGACGCTTCGATACAAGGTTGGGGTGCACATCTCAACAATCAAGTTGCATCCAGGAAGTGGTCCAAACAGAGCAGCATCTTCACATCAATCTGCTGGAGATGAAAGCTGTGATCAACGCCTTACAACTATAGTCGAGCTCGCTGATCAACTGAATGCTGATGGTCCACACGACATCTACAGTGGCATTCTCCATAAATCGGCAAGGATCTACAAGATCACCAAGCCTAATACAGCTCACATTCCAGTTGTTTGACATCATGGAGGAGGCAAACATCTGGATAAAGGCGTGTCACATACCCGGAGCCAAGAACGTGCTTGCAGACGCTCTCTCCCGACCACTGCACCTGTCATCTACAGAATGGATGCTCCATCCAGAAGCATTTCAGCTCATCATAAGGGAAATAGGATCCCCATGCATAGACCTGTTTGCCACGAGGTTCAACAAACAACTACAGACATTTGTCTCACCAGTTCCAGTTCCTCAAGCCTGGGCAACAGATGCACTGAATATATCATGGGAAGGACTAAACGCTTATGCGTTTCCACCACTGATATTACTACCGAAAGTACTGTTGAAGATCAAACAGACACAGACACTACAACTGGCCATGGTCGCGCCATACTGGCCAGCGAGAGTATGTTTCCTAGACCTAATAGAAGATCTCGGAAGTCCAACAATCAAGTTACCAGATTGGCTGAACCTACTCATACATCCGCACACCAAGCAAGTCCACAGGAACCCAACACTGTTCCAGCTACACGTGTGGACCGTATCAAAACCTGTTTGAATAAAAGAGGATACTCCGCCAGGGCAGCCAAGGCAGTAACGCTAGTGTTACGCAGATCTACTCGTAACATGTATGATGACAAGTGGCTGAAGTTTGAGACTTATGCAAGGCGGAAAGACTTCATTACGATGAAAGCTACTCATCATCAAGTGGCGGAATACCTGTGTCATCTTAGACAGACTAGACATCTGAAAGGTTCGACATTATCTACATACCTCGCTGCCATCAGTACAGTGATTACCATGAAAATAGGCATCGAGTTGACGAGAGTACCAGAATTACTTGCTCTGCTGAGATCTTTTAAACTGGAGGACCAGCAAAAGAAGTTCAGAGCTCCGGCCTTGGATTTGAATGTAATTCTACGTCATCTTACCAGTGATGCCTACGAACCTCTAGACCAGACTACACTCGAGCTGCTGACACAGAAGACTCTGTTCCTGCTTGCGCTAGCCACAGCAGCTCGAATATCAGAGATACATGCTGGACTTTGGTCGAACCAGATTCGACACGGGGCAACATGCTGCAGTTCATCTAGGACTTAGATGGGACCTCATTGCCAAGAACCAACTACCTGGTTAGCCAGATAGACAGTTCTACGTACCAGCGCTATCTACAATCCTTGGACCAGAGGATATAGAGGACCTTTCCTTGTGTCCGGTCAGAGCCCTGAAGATATATCTTCAAAGACTGAGACAAAGAGACGAAAATTCAAGCGCCTATTCATCCCATTATCCACAGAGACATCAGCAGAAGTCTCAAGAACGACAATATCGTTCTGGATGAGAGCCGTCATATTGAGAACCTATAAAGCAGCAGGACTAGAACCTCCAAGAGCTTCCAACCCACACGAAGTCAGAGCATTGGCGTCAACACTAGCTCTGCATGGAAATTGCTCTATATCAGCAATTATGGAGGGCTGCTTTTAGAAGTCGGACACGGTGTTTGCCAACCACTACCTCCGAGACATAGCCACTGAAGGCGTCTCAGGCACTCACCAATTTGGGCCTCTCATTGTAGCACAGCTACTAACGGCTCCACAAAGGCGCTGAGTTGGAAAATCTCACCCTTTATCACGTTGACTTGTTCATAACTTTTACTAAAGAAAAGTATTAGTTTGAAAGTCCATGCGCACAGTCTAGGACAGGCTAGCATGAGTGATTAAAGATCCTGCACGGGTAAAGATCTTACCTGTACGTGAAGGGGTCGCAACTCATTTATGATAAAGATCTTATAATCTATGGGTTGTTATAAGATATCTAGTAATAAGAAGATACTAATTTATCTGAAGCCACATGAATCAAGATGATTCAACTTGTCTGAGATTGAAGTAAGACAAGGAGTGGTCCCCCCAAGTTATAACGGAAGTTGGAAGAATAGGATCTAGGAAATGCCGCTACGCAGTTCCCATGGGGGGGATACAGGACGTATCTTAGGACAGCTGATGAATCCAGGAAGGGGCCTGACCCACCACCAATCCGTCGGATTCTATAAGCAAAAGATCATGAGTCAGGATAAGAAAAAATTGATATTTTTATACTTATCCTGACTCATGAGGTCAAGCCCTCCCGACCTCTTCGCTGGAAACACTTCGGATTGCACAACAGATCCAAGTGCTTGGGCAGAAAAATCAGAAGAGAGTGACAAGTAAGGCTGGTCACATGACTGTTTACGTGGGAAAAGGGAGGTAAGTATAAAAATATCAATTTTACTTGAAAAATTACATTTTTCATTTAGCAGAATTCAAAATGTGTAAGATATTCTGCCTCTGGCTCTAGTTTGGTCTGTGTAGCCTTGAAGGACTGCGATGAGGCTGCAGTGCTCCTGTCTAATGGGACATGGCTGGCTTGTTTCCCCTGTCTCACCTAGGTGGTGTTGTAGGAAGAACAAATCGAGATCAGACCCTTGAGAATCCTATGAGAGCCCTTTTTATTACCAGCTCTCCCATCCTTGGGCAAGGCAGATCGAGGTAGATCAGTTTGGTCTTGTCTGCATGACCCAGGTAAATCTGATTCAGCTTTGTAAAATTGAATGCTAAACCACATTTGTTGTTCCTCATACAATTGGGCAGACGTGATCTCAAAGAGATCCTTTTCCAGGATACTCACTTCATGCTAATACCTCAGAGGTCTGGAAGATTGAAAAACTGCACTATATCTTTCAATGTTGACTAAGCCAAAGCATTGAGCATTTAGGAAATACTTGAGGATCATGTTTTTGGGTATCATGTTTGGCGGTGTAAATTGTATCATTTTTAAGTGCTCCCATTTGGACCAGCAGTGACTCAGGTCCCTGTCCATGTGATGAAATCTTATATCATTGTGGCAGTTTGTTTATGCAGCAGGTACATGGCCTTGATCACACAGTGAAAGTCTGCATGTATACAAGGTTTATTATAATTATGATTACGCTGAGATGGGTAGCAATATACCATTTCATCATGAAGCATGAAATCATGTACAAGGTATCACATACATTTTTGTCCCAAGATTTAAAACCTCGGAGTATGAATCAGTGCTAGTGACTCTACTGCTGTTGTTCCCATATTGTAGGAACTGATGTACTTTACAACCCCAACCCAGCATGTTTCCTGGAGTGCAGGACCCTCACCACATCGGACTACAGAGATTTGGTTTGGACAACGTTCGCAGAGTTTCCAGGTAACGCTTTTTTTAACGCTTCCCATTTTTTTTATATCCATTATCCTGATGGAAAATGTTGTTGATGGATGTGAATGGACTTTCAGCAAAATCTGTTTATTTGATAGTCATTCATAAAATACAGGGCAATGTCAGTTTTCGAAACCAGTCAGTGAATATCAACAGAAAATGTCTGTTAGTGTGTGATCTTATAGTTAAAGTAAATACAGCTAAGTTATAGCTTTTAACACTCATGAACTGGATGTATGGTTTTCACGAGAATGATAAGGGATATATGGCTACTATTTTAATAGAGGTGTAGTAATTGTAGGAAGTGAAGATGATGTATGACCTTTTTGACCTATTATTGTTAGCAAGGTTTTGTTTCTTGGAAATGCTCCTTCTTTAGTTGCTGTCCGGAATCATCAACACTTGTAGCTGACAACTGCAGCCCAAATACAGGATTTTGCAGTGATAAAATACAGATGATGAATATTGTTTTGATTTTGTCTGTAATCAAGTCATAAAAGGTACAGATTTTTCTAGTTCGTTCCCCGCCAGTGTCAGCCATCCCACAATGTATCTTCGGAATGTAACAAACCGTACATATGTGTAGGAGTCACTTAACGTCCTGTGTGAGCTGTATCGAACAATTTGCTCATAATTTTGGACTTTTTTCATACCATGTGGTCTTGGCTCTGCTTACGACATTTATGCAGTATATTTTAGTTGTTACATGTAGATTTAGTTTGTATTTACATGAGTGAGAATGGTGCCCAAGGCCTCCTCCTTCCAATGTGCAGCTGCATTCTTTACATCACAATATCTCAAGTGCAGGGATGAAGTATGCACTGTTGAAGATGGGATTTGTGTTTTTCCTCATCACTGATTAGCAGTTTATGAAACTGGTTGAACTTGGCAACCCTTATTGACATTCATGTTCCTTTTTTTGTGAATTACATAACCTAGCTCTTCAAGCCAGAAGGATAAGAAAAACAGGCAGCTGTGGCATGGCCCGTTAGTTGTAGACAGAGAAGTGGTTCCCACTGCAAGGGACAGGGTCTCAGAGTGTTCTCAAAGACTGAACCAGACTGTCTGTCATCACACTGTGCTTGTGCTACCTCCAGGAACCATGTCAGAGAGATAGTCCTCTTGAGGCCTATGGACGGTTAGCCTATAGGACGGGTAGCCTATAGGATGGGTAGCCTATAGGACGGGTAGCCTATAGAACGGATAGCCTATAGGACGGGTAGCCTGTAGGATGGGTAGCCTGTAGGATGGGTAGCCTGTAGGATGGGTAGCCTATAGGATGGGTAGCCTATAGGATGGGTAGCCTATAAGATGGGTAGCCTGTAGGACGGGTAGCCTGTAGGATGTGTAGCCTGTAGGATGTGTAGCCTGTAGGACAAGTAGCCTGTAGGACGGGTAGCCTGTAGGACGGGTAGCCTGTAGGTTGGGTAGCCTTTAGGATGGGTAGCCTGGAGGATGGGTAGCCTGTAGGATGGGTAGCCTGTAGGACAGGTAGCCAATAGGAGGGGCTTCCTGTAGAACCGGTAGCCTGTAGGACTCTTCTGCACCCATCTTGCGCATGGGTCTTCAGTATAAAGCCTACTGCTGTTGTTACACCAGCTGATGGTATAAACCAGTACAGGTATTATCTCTGATGTGGACCAGTCATCTCCAGGAGCAGGTCATCTTGAAGCAGCAAAACACTGTATGCAGATAGTTCAGTCAGGGATAGATTGCCTTATATTTAAGGCATTAATGTCAGCCTATTTGGGATACTAGATGCAAGTTCACAACCTTCCATCTCTTATGGTGTTATGGAGGTAGGCTACAAACTATCTAACAATAGTTAATATTGTGTACAATTGTCAGACTACTATGGCTGTTACATCAGGAGTAGTGAGTCTCCCCTCCCCAGATGATCAAGCATGCAGGATGGTTGGAATGAATTAAGTTTCCAACATTTTCCATGTCCGGAGGGTTTGTTTACATTTGCATGATGCACCATGGGATGGCTGACAGTGGCAGGGATATGACTTTTGAAGGTGTCAAAGATTTGGTGGTCTGATTACTACCAAAAATGGAGTTAATGGCTTTGATGTGAAACAAATAGTACTCTTATAATGATACATGTATATATTATTGTTTGATGTTGATTTATTTTCAGGATTATTTGTGACAGTATTTTTCATAGAGAAGATAGGCAGGAAATACACCATGGCAGTGGAGTTCAGCATCTTCACTATATTTGTGTTCCTAGTCAACATCTGCACAACAAGGTTGGTGAAACTGGGTATAATGTAGAGGGGCACCACAAGTAATGCTAGTGACACTGGGTATAATGTAGAGGGGCACCACAAGTAATGCTAGTGACACTGGGTATACTGTAGAGGGGCACCACAAGTAATGTTAGTGACACTGGGTATACTGTAGAGGGGCACCACAAGTAATGTTAGTGACACTGGGTATACTGTAGAGGGGCACCACAAGTAATGTTGGTGAAACTGGGTATAATGTAGAGGGGCACCACAAGTAATGCTAGTGACACTGGGTATAATGTAGAGGGGCACCACAAGTAATGTTAGTGACACTGGGTATACTGTAGAGGGGCACCACAAGTAATGTTGGTGAAACTGGGTATAATGTAGAGGGGCACCACAAGTAATGCTAGTGACACTGGGTATAATGTAGAGGGGCACCACAAGTAATGCTAGTGACACTGGGTATAATGTAGAGGGGCACCACAAGTAATGCTAGTGACACTGGGTATAATGTAGAGGGGCACCACAAGTAATGTTGGTGACACTGGGTATACTGTAGAGGGGCACCACAAGTAATGTTAGTGACACTGGGTATACTGTAGAGGGGCACCACAAGTAATGTTAGTGACACTGGGTATACTGTAGAGGGGCACCACAAGTAATGTTAGTGACACTGGGTATACTGTAGAGGGGCACCACAAGTAATGTTAGTGACACTGGGTATACTGGGTAGAGGGGCACCACAAGTAATGTTAGTGACACTGGGTATACTGTAGAGGGGCACCACAAGTAATGTTAGTGACACTGGGTATACTGTAGAGGGGCACCACAAGTAATGTTAGTGACACTGGGTATACTGTAGAGGGGCACCACAAGTAATGTTAGTGACACTGGGTATACTGTAGAGGGGCACCACAAGTAATGTTAGTGACACTGGGTATACTGTGAGGGGCACCACAAGTAATGTTAGTGACACTGGGTATACTGTAGAGGGGCACCACAAGTAATGTTAGTGACACTGGGTATACTGTAGAGGGGCACCACAAGTAATGTTAGTGACACTGGGTATACTGTAGAGGGGCACCACAAGTAATGTTAGTGACACTGGGTATACTGTAGAGGGGCACCACAAGTAATGTTAGTGACACTGGGTATACTGTAGAGGGGCACCACAAGTAATGTTAGTGACACTGGGTATACTGTAGAGGGGCACCACAAGTAATGTTAGTGACACTGGGTATACTGTAGAGGGGCACCACAAGTAATGTTAGTGACACTGGGTATACTGTAGGGGGCACCACAAGTAATGTTAGTGACACTGGGTATACTGTAGAGGGGCACCACAAGTAGTGATGTTAGGGGACACTGTAATGTTATGACACTGTAGAGGGGCACCACAAGTAATGTTAGTGACACTGGGTATACTGTAGAGGGGCACCACAAGTAATGTTAGTGACACTGGGTATACTGTAGAGGGGCACCACACCAAGTAATGTTAGTGACACTGGGTATACTGTAGAGGGGCACCACAAGTAATGTTAGTGACACTGGGTATACTGTAGAGGGGCACCACAAGTAATGTTAGTGACACTGGGTATACTGTAGAGGGGGCACCACAAGTAATGTTAGTGACACTGGGTATACTGTAGAGGGGCACCACAAGTAATGTTAGTGACACTGGGTATACTGTAGAGGGGGCACCACAAGTAATGTTGGTGACACTGGGTATACTGTAGGGGGCACCACAAGTAATGTTAGTGACACTGGGTATACTGTAGAGGGGCACCACAAGTAATGTTAGTGACACTGGGTATACTGTAGGGGGCACCACAAGTAATGTTAGTGACACTGGGTATACTGTAGGGGGCACCACAAGTAATGTTAGTGACACTGGGTATACTGTGAGGGGCACCACAAGTAACACCATGTAGTGACACTGGGTATACTGTAGAGGGGGTTATGACACTGGGTATACTGTAGAGGGGCACCACAAGTAATGAAGTAATGTAGTGACACTGGGTATACTGTAGAGGGGCACCACAAGTAATGTTAGTGACACTGGGTATACTGTAGAGGGGCACCACAATGTTGTGACACTGGGTAGTAGAGGGGCACACAAGTAATGTTAGTGACACTAGGTATACTGTGAGGGGCACCACAAGTAATGTTAGTGACACTGGGTATACTGTGGGGGCACCACAAGTAATGTTAGTGACACTGGGTATGCTGTAGAGGGGCACCACAAGTAATGTTAGTGACACTGGGTATACTGTAGAGGGGCACCACAAGTAATGTTAGTGACACTGGGTATACTGTAGAGGGGCACACAAGTAATGTTAGTGACACTGGGTATACTGGGTAGAGGGGCACCACAAGTAATGTTAGTGACACTGGGTATACACTGTAGAGGGGCACCACAACTGTGGGGTATAGTAGAGGGGCACCACAAGTAATGTTAGTGACACTGGGTATGCTGTGGGGGCACCACAAGTAATGACACTGGGAGTGACACTGGGTATACTGTAGAGGGGCACCACAAGTAATGTTAGTGACACTGGGTATACTGTAGAGGGCACCACAAGTGACATGGGTTAGTGACACTGGGTATACTGTAGAGGGGCACCACAAGTAATGTTAGTGACACTGGGTATGCTGTAGGGGGCACCACAAGTAATGTTAGTGACACTGGGTATACTGTGGGGGCACCACAAGTAATGTTAGTGACACTGGGTATACTGTAGAGGGGCACCACAAGTAATGTTAGTGACACTGGGTATACTGTAGAGGGGCACCACAAGTAATGTTAGTGACACTGGGTATACTGTAGAGGGGCACCACAAGTAATGTTAGTGACACTGGGTATACTGTAGAGGGGCACCACAAGTAATGTTAGTGACACTGGGTATACTCCCACTCACTGCTTTTGTTGTGTAACTGTGTCTCTCTTCTTCCACAGGGCAGTGCTGACAGTCTTCCTGTTTGTATCCCGAGCCTTCATTGCTGGGGCCTTCCAGGCAGCTTATGTCTACACTCCAGAGGTGAGAAGGATCAGTCTGTATGTGAAAACATTGTCAGGGCTTGACATTGCCCCCAATTCCCGAACAAGACGACAGGACCAGTAACTTTTAAAAATCACTGGTCCTTACAGATTCTTACTGGTCCTGCTAAGGGACTGTTATTGACAGCCTTAAATATCTACTTGACCGTTGGGATAGCACTTATCAAAGTTGCACTGGTCCTGTCAACATTTTACTAGACCTGGGCCAGTGGGATAGCGTGAATGTCAAGCCCTGATAGTGGAGCTGCTTCCGGAATAGTCTACACTTGTTTACTGTGTTTAAGTCATTAAGGGATATATCCTAAAGACTCTTATGAACACTTTGAATACTTGGACTTTTTATATGTAAACTGCCAGGAATATAAATCTGTAACGTCTTTGGAACCCTATGTGTATCATTAATTTTACTAGATAATATGCACTTCTATGGTTTAAATTTTTGTACTTTATTTGAAATTTTCACTGAGGCCACAGGGCCTTATGACTACTGGGAAAATATTTTGAATGCACACTTGACGTGAATTATTAATATTAGTATGTGATAAAGTTAGGTTTTTCTAAACTGTCATAGCATTTGAATCACTCAAACAGATGCTCATTGCCTTATTCATGTTTTTAAAAGCAACACCTATTGTTGTTCTGACCTTGTTGTCCTGCATGTATGCCATTGATAAGGTGCTGGTGTAGTGGAAATCACTATGACCTTGTTGTCCGGGATGTATGCCATTGATAAGGTGCTGATGTAGTGGAGCTCACTATGACCTTGTTGTCCGGGATGTATGACATTGATAAGGTGCTGATGGAGTGGAACTCACTATGACCTTGTTGTCCGGGATGTATGACATTGATAAGGTGCTGATGGAGTGGAACTCACTATGACCTTGTTGTCCGGGATGTATGCCATTGATAAGGAGCTGATGGAGTGGAAATCACTATGACCTTGTTGTCCGGGATGTATGACATTGATAAGGTGCTGATGGAGTGGAACTCACTATGACCTTGTTGTCCGGGATGTATGACATTGATAAGGTGCTGATGGAGTGGAACTCACTATGACCGGGATGTTGTTGTGCCGGGATGTATGACATTGATAAGGTGCTGATGGAGTGGAACTCACTATGACCTTGTTGTCCGGGATGTATGACATTGATAAGGTGCTGATGTAGTGGAGCTCACTATGACCTTGTTGTCCGGGATGTATGACATTGATAAGGTGCTGATGGAGTGGAGCTCACTATGACCTTGTTGTCCGGGATGTATGACATTGATAAGGTGCTGATGTAGTGGAGCTCACTATGACCTTGTTGTCCGGGATGTATGACATTGATAAGGTGCTGATGGAGTGGAACTCACTATGACCTTGTTGTCCTGGATGTATGACATTGATAAGGTGCTGATGTAGTGGAGCTCACTATGACCTTGTTGTCCTGCATGTATGACATTGATAAGGTGCTGATGGAGTGGACTATGACCTTGTTGTCGGGATGTATGACATTGATAAGGTCTGATGTAGTGGAACTCACTATGACCTTGTTGTCCGGGATGTATGACATTGATAAGGTGCTGATGGAGTGGAGCTCACTATGACCTTGTTGTCCTGCATGTATGACATTGATAAGGTGCTGATGTAGTGGAACTCACTATGACCTTGTTGTCCTGCATGTATGACATTGATAAGGTGCTGATGGAGTGGAGCTCACTATGACCTTGTTGTCCTGCATGTATGACATTGATAAGGTGCTGACATTGATAAGGTGCTGGAGTGGAGCTCACTATGACCTTGTTGTCCTGCATGTAGGTGCTGATGACATTGATAAGGTGCTGATGGAGTGGAGCTCACTATGACCTTGTTGTCCTGCATGTATGACATTGATAAGGTGCTGATGGAGTGGAGCTCACTATGACCTTGTTGTCCTGCATGTATGACATTGATAAGGTGCTGATGGAGTGGAGCTCACTATGACCTTGTTGTCCTGCATGTATGACATTGATAAGGTGCTGATGTAGTGAAACTCACTATGACCTTGTTGTCCTGCATGTATGACATTGATAAGGTGCTGATGGAGTGGAGCTCACTATGACCTTGTTGTCCTGCATGTATGACATTGATAAGGTGCTGATGGAGTGGAGCTCACTATGACCTTGTTGTCCTGCATGTAAGACATTGATAAGGTGCTGATGGAGTGGAACTCACTATGACCTTGTTGTCCTGCATGTTCAAAGTCCAAAGGTCAGTTGGATTAGTACTTTACCTTGATATTTTTATAAGTTTAGAACCTCACCCTTGAATCATACCCTTCCTAGACGTTGTTATTTAGAACTGACTTTAATATCATTTGCATGTGATGGCTTGTCGATCATCTAGGGAGTGATCGATAGGATGGTTGATCAACTTCAGGATTGTAAGAATTCTCAACAGGGTTGTCATTCAACTGGGGAGCAATCAATTGGTTTTGATGAACTTTTGGATTGTACAACTGAGTATCAACAGTCAGCTTTAGAGCATTCCTTTAGTTTTCTACATCCTATAGATTTGTAGGAGATTGTTATGGCTGCTACTTATGCCTCTAGTCGGCCTCCATCACCACTTCAACTGAGAGGCTCATTATAGTTCATCTTCGAATTGCTCAATCCCTTATACCAACCTTGCCTCATTCAGATTGTTTGCCTGCCCCATCACATTATCAACTACCTGTGACTACTTCAGAATCTTCCACATCTACATCATTGGTATCAACTCTAGAATCAGTTGATGTGGTGGAACAACCCCTAACACACTCTTGGATTGCTGACATATTGAGGCTACCCATATCCCTTACTGAAAAGGGTAGTGTGACAAGGTCTAGTGTAAAAGACTTTCTTTCAATGAAAGATGTTATGTTGGACATCGGCCAGCAATTACACAAGGCCTTTGCTGCCTCGTGACTGATAAATTATGATTTTATATTCAACCTGGTACCCATGGTCAGAGGGTATTGCTATTGTTCCAGGACTTGACTCAGATATTCTTACTTGGAGTTTTGAATGCACTTGATGCACCTTAAGTGCTAAGGACAGGAACATAGTTCCCATTGATACAGTGGGTGTGCCTGACGTACACCTGGCTGTGTTTGATGATTCTGTCAGGTACAGAGGTGATTGTTCTGACACTCTTGCATGTATTCATGGATGTTCAAGTGCACGTTCTGCTCCATGATCATGACCCTATTTCCGAATCCCCAAGATGTGGAAGACTTGGTCTCTCTGCAAACAGCCTTGTTGGACGACCCATACGTTCCCCAAGAGAGATACTATCTACCATTCATTTCCATACCTTCACCTTCACCAATGCAGTTGGCAGGTCTCCAAGATACCATAGGTACACTGTTGGACAAACGAATAATGGAATCATTAGGCCCCTAGTTTGATCCCTGTCGCCTTGTATGAGCACTCATTTCTACATGAGACACCTATCTCTTCATCCAGATCCATTTGAGCCTGAGCACAGGAGCTGTCCACTTGGCCTTTCAACGTCTACACTACCAGTGGTTGGTCCTGCTGAACATACTGGACAAGATCCAGAAGAAGAGAACCCGTCTCTCCTGCAAGCAAGGTTGTTCTGCAGTTGCAGGAGATCTTAGGCCTTCTGAATCAAGCTCTCATAGAGCAGGGCCAACTCCATCCCCAGTAGGGTGGACGACATCCTGTTACCACCATTGCTTCACCAACTGAGGTGGGATGGCTGGGGATTAAACTTGTGCACTGTGGGTCACTGTTCACACCTCCCACCATCTGAGGTGGTGGCTGGGGATTAAACTTGTGCACTGTGAGTCACTGTTCACACCTCCCACCATCTGCTGTGGTGGCTGGGGATTAAACTTGTGCACTGTGAGTCACTGTTCACACCTCCCACCATCTGCTGTGGTGGCTGGGGATTAAACTTCTGTACTGGAGTCACTGTTCACACCTCCCACCATCTGAGGTAGTGGCTGGGGATTAAACTTGTGCACTGTGAGTCACTGTTCACACCTCCCACCATCTGCTGTGGTGGCTGGGGATTAGACTTGTGCACTGTGAGTCACTGTTAACACCTCCCACCATCTGCTGTGGTGGCTGGGATTAAACTTGTGCACTGTGAGTTACTGTTAACACCTCCCACCATCTACTGTGGTGGCTGGGGATTAAACTTGTGCACTTTGAGTCACTGTTCACACCTCCCACCATCTGCTGTGGTGGCTGGGGATTAAACTTGTGCACTGTGAGTCACTGTTCACCCCTCCCACCATCTGCTGTGGTGGCTGTTAAACTTGTGCACTGGGGTCACTGTTAACACCTCCCACCATCTTGTGGCTGGGGATTAAACTTGCACTGTGAGTCACTGTTCACACCTCCCACCATCTGAGGTTGTGGCTGGGGATTAAACTGCACTGTGAGTCACTGTTCACACCTCCCACCATCAGGTTGTGGCTGTGCACACCTGTTCACACCCCACCATCTGCTGTGGTGGCTGGGGATTAAACTTGTGCACTGTGAGTCACTGTTCACACCTCCCACCATCTGAGGTTGTGGCTGGGGATTAAACTTGTGCACTGTGAGTCACTGTTCACACCTCCCAGTCACTGTTGGCACACCTCCCACCATCTGCTGTGGTGGCTGGGGATTAAACTTGTGCACTGTGAGTCACTGTTCACACCTCCCACCATCTGCTGTGGTGGCTGGGGATTAAACTTGTGCACTGTGAGTCACTGTTCACACCTCCCACCATCTGCTGTGGTGGCTGGGGATTAAACTTGTGCACTGTGAGTCACTGTTCACACCTCCCACCATCTGAGGTTGTGGCTGGGGATTAAACTTGTGCACTGTGAGTCACTGTTCACACCTCCCACCATCTGCTGTGGTGGCTGGGGATTAAACTTGTGCACTGTGAGTCACTGTTCACACCTCCCACCATCTGAGGTGGTTGCTGGGGATTAAACTTGTGCACTGTGAGTCACTGTTCACACCTCCCACCATCTGCTGTGGTGGCTCGGGATTAAACTTGTGCACTGTGAGTCACTGTTCACACCTCCCACCATCTGCTGTGGTGGCTGGGGATTAAACTTGTGCACTTTGAGTCACTGTTCACACCTCCCACCATCTGAGGTTGTGGCTGGGGATTAAACTTCTGTACTGGAGTCACTGTTCACACCTCCCACCATCTGAGGTTGTGGCTGGGGATTAAACTTGTGCACTGTGAGTCACTGTTCACACCTCCCACCATCTGCTGTGGTGGCTGGGGATTAAACTTGTGCACTGTGAGTCACTGCTCACACCTCCCACCATCTGCCGTGGTGGCTGGGGATTAAACTTGTGCACTTTGAGTCACTGTTCACACCTCCCACCATCTGAGGTTGTGGCTGGGGATTAAACTTCTGTACTGGAGTCACTGTTCACCCCTCCCACCATCTGCTGTGGTGGCTGGGGATTAAACTTGTGCACTGTGAGTCACTGTTCACACCTCCCACCATCAGGTTGTGGCTCGGGAATAAACTTGTGCACTGTGAGTCACTGTTCACACCTCCCACCATCTGCTGTGGTGGCTGGGGATTAAACTTGTGCACTGTGAGTCACTGTTCACACCTTCCACCATCTGAGGTTGTGGCTGGGGATTAAACTTGTGCACTGGAGTCACTGTTCACACCTTCCAGCATCTCTTCATGGATGCATCAAAGCAAGCTCGGGATGCTCTTCTGCGATACCCTCAGTTTCAGGGCAGTGGCTTGCAGGAGAAAGGAGATTCCACATTGACGACCTGGGCCCACTTGCACAAAGCGATCTTAGCGCTACGACTATCTTAAGCCTATGTTGGACTGACTGACTGAATTTGGTTTTACGCCGCTTTTAGCAATATTCCAGCAGAATCATGGCAGGGGACACCAGAAATGGGCTTCACACATTGTCCCCATGTGGGGATTCAAACCCGGGTCTTCAGCGTGACGAGCCAACACTTTAACCACTAGGCTACCCCACCGCCCCGCCTATGTTGGAGAATGGGAGTTACAATCATTTGTAGCGCTAAGATCGCTTTGTGCAAGCGAGCCCTGGACTTTGGAGCAGTTATCCTGGCAGTCACACATTGGAGATAGGCGTTCAACCCATGTCAGGCAATATTTCTTTTTCTACTGAAATTAATACATACATACATACATACAAATATTTGTAAAGCGCTTTTTATCAATCTAATTGCTCAAAAGCGCTATCTGAGTCCACTTTATCCATGTGCAGAGGTGAATAGGTGCGTCTTGAGTCCACATTTAAAATTTGACAGTTCTGTTTCTGAACGAAGGATGGATGGTAAATTGTTCCAGAGGAAGGGTCCTGCTCTAGAGAAAGACCTGTCCCCATATGACTTAGTTCTAGTTTGTGGTATTTCAAGGAGAGACTGGTCCCTTGAGCGGAGTGATCTAGTTGGGTGATATGGTGTAAGGAGATCTGAGAGGTATTTTGGAGCTAGTCCGTTTAGACACTTGAAAACAAGGAGCAGGATTTTGTAGTCGATTCTGAAGCGAATTGGAAGCCAATGTAGGGTTTTGAGGGCAGGAGAGATGTGTTCAGTCCTTTTAATTTGACAGATCAATCATGTGGCTGAATTTTGTGCCTTCTGTAGCCTGTAGAGAGGACTTGTTTTGGCACACCAGACAGCAAAGAGTTACAATAATCCAAGCGGGATGTTACATATGCTTGAACAAGAGCTTGTGCAGATTTCACATCCAAGTATCGGACGGATCAAACCAATGTTAGCAGATGAAAATAACATTGGCGACAGACATTGCGAACATGGGGTTCCATGCTGAGGGCAGAGTCAAAGATTACACCAAGATTGCGAACATGTGGCGCATTTTTATTGCAGATTCACCGATGCTGTGGAAGCAGAAGCAGAAGCTTTTCTGAAGTCGAAGAGGGTGGAACACAATGAGCTCAGTTTTATCATCATTTAATTTAAGATATTTCGATGACATCCAACTCTTGATACAATCAACACATTCTTCTACTCTTGAAAAGGAGAACTTGGTTGAAGATGCGTCAGATGGCTTGAAGGATAAGTAGACTTGCGTGTCATCAGCATAGAGGTGCATACTTAAGTTGTAGGACCTTACAATATCACCGAGGGAAGATGTGTAGCATGTGAAAAGTAGGGGGCCTAGAGCGAGGCCCTGAGGCACTCAAACTTCAAATCACGTTGCCTCTGACCTTTCACCCTGGATGACAACTGCCTGCCTCCGGTCTGTTAAGTAGGAGACAAACCACCTTAATGCAAGATCTTTGACATTGAACCTGTTTTCAAGGGTAGAGAGTAGCACAGAATGGTCAACAGTGTCAAAAGCAGCTGAGAGATCCAGCAATACAAGAATGGCCGCTCCATCGGTGTCTATGCCTCTTAGGATGTCGTTCTGAACCTTCAGCAGCGCAGTTTCGTGACTGTGGAAGGATCGGTAGGCAGATTGGCACTCTTCATAGAAGCTGTTTCTGCTCATATGGTCTCTGAATTGAGAAGCAACAATGCGGCTCAATCAGCTTAGAAATGAATGTCAAATTGGATATTGGTCTGTAGTGTTTAAACAATTAGTGATCGAGATTCTTCTTCTTTATGTGGGGAGTGATAATTGCTGTCTTCAGTTGATCAGGCATTACACCTTGGCTTAGCGAACTGTTGGTGATATCGTCCAGATCGGAAGAAGAGATTGAATGGTTTGTTTCAAGAGCCACGTTGGTAATGGGTCAAGCAAACATGATTTCGCTGGACATTTGGAGACAAGTTTGGACATTTCATCTTCCGTCACAGATCTAAAGCGAGGACAAAGGAAGGGAGTTAAATTGATTACTAGAACTTTGGCGGCATCATGATGATATTTGAAGGATTGGCGTATGATGTTGATCTTGTCAGTGAAGAAGCCCGAAAACCGATTAGCCAGCTCATCAATAGATGTGTGAGATGGGAGAACAAAGAGTTTCGTTTAAACAACAAGCTGTTGGCAATTCTGAACACTTCCTTCTGTCCAGTAGCTGTATTAATGGCATCTTTATAGAAGTCTGATTTTGCAGTCTCAATCAGTGATGCTAATGCATTACACTGTTCACTATGCATCTGTTTGTGGATGGTCAATTTTGTTCTCCTATACTGACGTTCCAGCTTCGCCTCTGTCTCTTTGCAGCACGGATGTTATCATTATACCATGGAGACTCAGGATGGGTTGTGATGGTACAGGTTTTGACAGGTGCATGTTGGTCTGCTAGCTGTCGGAGCAGTGAATCGTACATGTCCACAGCGTCAGAAACAGACATGCCTTGGTAACTGATACATGCTGTTGATATATCTTCACCGAGAGACTTAATGTCAACGTTTTTCCATTTCCGGTACATGACAACATTCCTCGATCTTTTCTTGACTCTGATGTTCACAGTAAAGATAATACATGTGTGGTCCGACTTGACTGAGTGATCAAAGGTCATGTGTTTTATGTCCAGTTCCAGCTCACGGACGATCACCAGATCCAGAATATGGCCCCTAGAATGGGTTGGTTCACTGACAACTTGTATGAGACCATGGGTATCCAGGATATAGAGCAGACGTTTTGCGTTAGCATCTTCAGGATTGTCAATGTGAAAATTGAAATCCCCACACACTAACAGTTTTCCATTAACTGTGTTCAGTGTATCCAAAAGTTCCGAAATCATCAAAGAATATGTTTCCAGAATTTGGTGGCCTGTAAAGCACTATAACATTTACACACTGATTTTCAGTTACAAACTGAATCGGTAGAAACTCGAATGAATCAAAGTGTCTAACATCAGTCAGGCGACGCATTTTTAATCTATCATCATACACAACACCACGCCCGCCACCTCGCCTGTTAGATCGGGATGTGCGGAGTAAGTTTGTATCCATCTGGAACAAGTTTGTTAATTGGCAAGGCATCAGTTTCATCACTTTTAACCAGGTTTCTGTAATTGCCAAAACATTTAATTTACTATCCACAATAAGATCATGAATTGTTCGTGCTTTGTCATTTAAAGGTTCACATGTCTTTATAGATCTGGCATTTAACAGTCCAATGTTAAGATTGTAATTCTTGTATGTCGAGAGAATATCCGTAGAAATTGAAGAATTCCATTTATTTTGTGCTCCTCTGGAACCACGGCGTGTTTTCTTAACTCTACAAATACCCAGACTTCTCAAGGTATAAAGTGTTTCAAGTGGAATTTTACCTCTGGAAACTTTGTTTTCATTTTTAAGAAATGACGAACAATATGTCAGAAGAGATCCAAAAAATATCAAGATAAACAGCCTGATTGAAAACTCCATGCTTCAGTTGTGGTCAGATGTAGATCAATCAGTGAGTCAGCAATGATGTAACCATCAACACTCAGCAGAACAAAGGACTGTCCCCATACACTGTCACGCTCTATTGTTCTTGGCCTGGCTTGGCTGAGAGTTCATGATCCTTGATTGAACTTTATCAGCAATCTTCCACAAAACATATGATTTTTCAGTCATTAAACTGTAATATGTCAATGTTTGCAAAATCTGAATCCACAAACAAGTTCACTGCCACATTATGCTATTCCATGTCAAAATTCATACTTGCGTGTTTCTTCTGCACAAAGTTATTCACAAATGTGTGTGGAGCTCAGCTGAGGTGCAGCCAGCCAGCGCAACACTCATACAAACACACTTCTAGTTTCAGAAAGTGAAAATACTTTCATAGTCTAACAATATGCATATTTGTTTCAGGTGTACCCAACATCTATGAGAGCTGTGGGTATAGGTTCCTGTAGTGGCATGGCCAGAGTAGGTGCAATAGTAACACCCTTCGTAGCACAGGTAGGCACACACTGACACATTCAACCTTACCATTTGAGAGCTTGTATTTATACTTCACAAAACATCAATTTTGTTGCCAATATTGTTAGTGCTGATCAGAGGCTATCTGAACTAAAGCTAAAGGACTATGGTAGGATTGACATTCTGTACAGTTTGTGCACTGGTAGTAATAACAGTCAAGGTCTCTAATCGCTCTGCATATGCTGATATATATAGAGGATACTAAACGAACTTCAGTGTAATACCATTTTTATTAAACGAGTTAATGATTTGGCATCAAACGAACGAAAACGAGGTTGATACTAAATCTTTATGTGTTTAATAAAAATGGTGTTTCACGGAAGCTAGTTTAGTATTCTGTTTATTACTCTCCAACATAATTTGATAGAAACTGCCTACAGCGTGATGACTCACAGCTTTCTGCAAGTCAAGCAAGGTCTAATACCATTGTGACAGAGGTATTAGCATTGTGACGTCAAAACTGTAACCATTATGACATCATACGTTTAGCGGTATTACACTAGTGTAATAATGCCGTAAAATATTCCACTTCAGTATCTTCCAGGGGCGAGTAATAATTGATAGATATCAGCTGAGTATTAAAAATGCAGACTGAATCAAGGAATTCAGGTTCATTACTGTACTGCCTATTGTCAGCACTGACAGTTTCATAGTGAACGCTTACAGATAAATCTTTCCTGTCAAAATATGAAAGTGAATTAAGTAATCATGAGACATTTATTCTCTTTTGCAGGTTCTACTTAAGCATTCTGCCTATGCCACTATCTCGATATATGGAGGAATGTGTCTGCTGGCTACTCTTGCCTCCATTTTGTTGCCTATAGAGACCAAGGGTCGAGAGATGACGGTAAGTCTTAGATGGAGTGTTACAGTATGTCTGCCAGCACTGTTCAGTCTGTGGAGACCAAGGGTTGAGAGATGACGGTAAGTCTTAGATGGAGTGTTACAGTATGTCTGCCAGCTCTGTTCAGTCTGTGGAGACCAAGGGTCGAGAGATGACGTTAAGTCTTAGATGGAGTGTTACAGTATGTCTGCCAGCTCTGTTCAGTCTGTGGAGACCAAGGGTCGAGAGATGACGGTAAGTCTTAGATGGAGTGTTGCAGTATGTCTGCCAGCACTGTTCAGTCTGTGGAGACCAAGGGTAGAGAGATGACGGTAAGTCTTAGATGGAGTGTTGCAGTATGTCTGCCAGCACTGTTCAGTCTGTGGAGACCAAGGGTAGAGAGATGACGGTAAGTCTTAGATGGAGTGTTGCAGTATGTCTGCCAGCACTGTTCAGCCTGTGGAGACCAAGGGTAGAGAGATGACGGTAAGTCTTAGATGGAGTGTTACAGTATGTCTGCCAGCACTGTTCAGTCTGTGGAGACCAAGGGTCGAGAGATGACGGTAAGTCTTAGATGGAGTGTTACAGTATGTCTGCCAGCACTGTTCAGTCTGTGGAGACCAAGGGTAGAGAGATGACGGTAAGTCTTAGATGGAGTGTTACAGTATGTCTGCCAGCACTGTTCAGTCTGTGGAGACCAAGGGTAGAGAGATGACGGTAAGTCTTAGATGGAGTGTTACAGTCTGTCTGCCAGCACTGTTCAGTCTGTGGAGACCAAGGGTAGAGAGATGACGGTAAGTCTTAGATGGAGTGGTACAGTATGTCTGCCAGCACTGTTCAGTCTGTGGAGACCAAGGGTAGAGAGATGACGTTAAGTCTTAGATGGAGTGTTGCAGTATGTCTGCCAGCTCTGTTCAGTCTGTGGAGACCAAGGGTCGAGAGATGACGGTAAGTCTTAGATGGAGTGTTGCAGTATGTCTGCCAGCACTGTTCAGTCTGTGGAGACCAAGGGTCAGAGATGACGTGTAAGTCTTAGATGGAGTGTTGCAGTATGTCTGCCAGCACTGTTCAGTCTGTGGAGACCAAGGGTAGAGATGGCCGGTAAGTCTTAGATGGAGTGTTGCAGTATGTCTGCCAGCACTGTTCAGCCTGTGGGGAGACCAAGGGTAGAGAGATGACGGTAAGTCTTAGATGGAGTGTTACAGTATGTCTGCCAGCTCTGTTCAGTCTGTGGAGACCAAGGGTCGAGAGAGATGACTTAGTAAGTCTTAGATGGAGTGTTACAGTATGTCTGCCAGCACTGTTCAGTCTGTGGAGACCAAGGGTCGAGAGATGACGGTAAGTCTTAGATGGAGTGTTACAGTATGTCTGCCAGCACTGTTCAGTCTGTGGAGACCAAGGGTAGAGAGATGAGCGGTAAGTCTTAGATGGAGTGTTACAGTCTGTCTGCCAGCACTGTTCAGTCTGTGGAGACCAAGGGTAGAGAGATGACGGTAAGTCTTAGATGGAGTGGTACAGTATGTCTGCCAGCACTGTTCAGTCTGTGGAGACCAAGGGTAGAGAGATGCCGGTAGGCAAGTCTTAGATGGAGTGTTACAGTATGTCTGCCAGCACTGTTCAGTCTGTGGAGACCAAGGGTAGAGATATGACGGTAAGTCTTAGCTGGAGTGTTACAGTATGTCTGCCAGCACTGTTCAGCCTGTGGAGACCAAGGGTAGAGATGACAGTAAGTCTTAGATGGAGTGTTAAGTCTGCTGCCAGCTCTGTTCAGTCTGTGGAGACCAAGGGTCGAGAGATGAGATGTGTAAGTCTGAGAGATGGAGTGTTGCAGTATGTCTGCCAGCTCTGTTCAGTCTGTGGAGACCAAGGGTAGAGAGATGACGGTAAGTCTTAGCTGGAGTGTTACAGTATGTCTGCCAGCTCTGTTCAGTCTGTGGAGACCAAGGGTCGAGAGATGACGTTAAGTCTTAGCTGGAGTGTTACAGTATGTCTGCCAGCTCTGTTCAGTCTGTGGAGACCAAGGGTCGAGAGATGACAGTAAGTCTTAGATGGAGTGTTGCAGTATGTCTGCCAGCACTGTTCAGTCTGTGGAGACCAAGGGTAGAGAGATGACCAGTAAGTCTTAGATGGAGTGTTGCAGTATGTCTGCCAGCACTGTTCAGTCTGTGGAGACCAAGGGTAGAGAGATGACGGTAAGTCTTAGATGGAGTGTTACAGTATGTCTGCCAGCACTGTTCAGTCTGTGGAGACCAAGGGTAGAGAGATGACGGTAAGTCTTAGATGGAGTGTTACAGTATGTCTGCCAGCACTGTTCAGTCTGTGGAGACCAAGGGTACAGAGATGACGGTAAGTCTTAGCTGGAGTGTTACAGTATGTCTGCCAGCACTGTTCAGCCTGTGGAGACCAAGGGTAGAGAGATGACAGTAAGTCTTAGATGGAGTGTTAAGTCTGCCAGCTCTGTTCCGTCTGTGGAGACCAAGGGTAGAGATGGCCGGTAAGTCTGAGATGGAGTGTTGCAGTATGTCTGCCAGCTCTGTTCAGTCTGTGGAGACCAAGGGTAGAGATGGCGGTACGTAAGTCTTAGCTGGAGTGTTACAGTATGTCTGCCAGCACTGTTCAGCCTGTGGAGACCAAGGGTAGAGAGATGATGGTAAGTCTGAGATGGAGTGTTGCAGTATGTCTGCCAGCTCTGTTCAGTCTGTGGAGACCAAGGGTAGAGAGATGACGGTAAGTCTTAGCTGGAGTGTTACAGTATGTCTGCCAGCACTGTTCAGCCTGTGGAGACCAAGGGTAGAGAGATGACGGTAAGTCTTAGATGGAGTGTTGCAGTATGTCTGCCAGCTCTGTTCAGTCTGTGGAGACCAAGGGTCGAGAGATGACGTTAAGTCTTAGATGGAGTGTTACAGTATGTCTGCCAGCTCTGTTCAGTCTGTGGAGACCAAGGGACGAGAGATGACTGAGTAAGTCTTAGATGGAGTGTTGCAGCATGTCTGCCAGCACTGTTCAGTCTGTGGAGACCAAGGGTCGAGAGATGATGTAAGTCTTAGATGAAGTGTTGCAGTATGTCTGCCAGCACTGTTCAGTCTGTGGAGACCAAGGGTGAGAGATGACGGTAAGTCTTAGATGGAGTGTTGCAGTATGTCTGCCAGCACTGTTCAGCCTGTGGAGACCAAAGGGTAGAGATAGCGGTAAGTCTTAGATGGAGTGTTACAGTATGTCTGCCAGCACTGTTCAGTCTGTGGAGACCAAGGGTCGAGATGACGGTAAGTCTTAGATGGAGTGTTACAGTATGTCTGCCAGCACTGTTCAGTCTGTGGAGACCAAGGGTAGAGATATGACGGTAAGTCTTAGATGGAGTGTTACAGTATGTCTGCCAGCACTGTTCAGTCTGTGGAGACCAAGGGTAGAAGAGATGGACGGTAAGTCTTAGCTGGAGTGTTACAGTCTGTCTGCCAGCACTGTTCAGTCTGTGGAGACCAAGGGTCGAGATGACGAGTAAGTCTTAGATGGAGTGTTACAGTATGTCTGCCAGCACTGTTCAGTCTGTGGAGACCAAGGGTCGAGAGATGACGTTAAGTCTTAGATGGAGTGTTACAGTATGTCTGCCAGCACTGTTCAGTCTGTGGAGACCAAGGGTAGAGAGATGACGGTAAGTCTTAGCTGGAGTGTTACAGTATGTCTGCCAGCACTGTTCAGCCTGTGGAGACCAAGGGTAGAGAGATGACAGTAAGTCTTAGATGGAGTGTTAAGTCTGCCAGCTCTGTTCAGTCTGTGGAGACCAAGGGTCGAGAGATGACGGTAAGTCTGAGATGGAGTGTTGCAGTATGTCTGCCAGCTCTGTTCAGTCTGTGGAGACCAAGGGTAGAGAGATGACGGTAAGTCTTAGCTGGAGTGTTACAGTATGTCTGCCAGCACTGTTCAGCCTGTGGAGACCAAGGGTAGAGAGATGACGGTAAGTCTGAGATGGAGTGTTGCAGTATGTCTGCCAGCTCTCTTCAGCCTGTGGAGACCAAGGGTAGAGAGATGACGGTAAGTCTTAGATGGAGTGTTACAGTATGTCTGCCAGCTCTGTTCAGCCTGTGGAGACCAAGGGTAGAGAGATGACAGTAAGTCTTAGATGGAGTGTTACAGTATGTCTGCCAGCTCTGTTCAGTCTGTGGAGACCAAGGGTAGAGAGATGACGGTAAGTCTGAGATGGAGTGTTACAGTCTGTCTGCCAGCACTGTTCAGTCTGTGGAGACCAAGGGTAGAGAGATGACGGTAAGTCTTAGCTGGAGTGTTACAGTATGTCTGCCAGCACTGTTCAGCCTGTGGAGACCAAGGGTAGAGAGATGATTGTAAGTCTTAGATGGAGTGTTAAGTCTGCCAGCTCTGTTCAGTCTGTGGAGACCAAGGGTAGAGAGATGACGGTAAGTCTTAGCTGGAGTGTTGCAGTATGTCTGCCAGCTCTGTTCAGTCTGTGGAGACCAAGGGTAGAGAGATGACATTAGTCTGAGATGGAGTGTTACAGTATGTCTGCCAGCTCTGTTCAGTCTGTGGAGACCAAGGGTAGAGAGATGACGGTAAGTCTGAGATGGAGTGTTGCAGTATGTCTGCCAGCTCTGTTCAGTCTGTGGAGACCAAGGGTAGAGAGATGACGGTAAGTCTGAGATGGAGTGTTACAGTATGTCTGCCAGCTCTGTTCAGTCTGTGGAGACCAAGGGTAGAGAGATGACAGTAAGTCTGAGATGGAGTGTTACAGTATGTCTGCCAGCTCTGTTCAGCCTGTGGAGACCAAGGGTAGAGAGATGACAGTAAGTCTGAGATGGAGTGTTACAGTATGTCTGCCAGCTCTGTTCAGCCTGTGGAGACCAAGGGTAGAGAGATGATAGTAAGTCTGAGATGGAGTGTTACAGTATGTCTGCCAGCCCTGTTCAGTCTGTGGAGACCAAGGGTAGAGAGATGACAGTAAGTCTGAGATGGAGTGTTACAGTATGTCTGCCAGCTCTGTTCAGTCTGTGGAGACCAAGGGTAGAGATGACAGT